AAATCACGTTTAGCATGGATTAAACGATTTTTTGTCATTATTATTCTGCACCATACAGCGTTTCTTCGCCAGAGGTGGTTTATTTGGTATAAATATTTGGTTGCATATTTACAATATTTATAATGTATTCATTCTTTCTTTAGTTTCTCCAAGTTCTAATTCTTCTAAAATAATCGGTTATTCTCTGTTTGACAGTATTTGTACTAACATTAAAATCAATTAAATAGGTATCACAAATTGGAATAGTACTAGTATCACATTCATTCGATCGATTAGGCGGTTTGATAGGAACAAAATACTTATAAAATTCATTGTATGTGGTTAACATGAAATTGATCGGTTCAAACATTGAGTAGTTGCATATTCTAATCGGCAGTGACAGAAATTCAGTGTTTCGTGTTCGATGTCGTGGCGTTCTAAAGTTGATTTTTTCCATGATATACTTTGATGGACATTCGGACGTGTGAAGCCCGTAGTTTTTTCTCTGTGGCTCCACTCGATTGCGCGTTTTTGCGCGCTTTTGTCATAACCAAAACGAAATTAAGTATGCCGAAAAATATTCCATGCAATTGTTTTCATACATTAATATTAAAAAGCATTTATATTTCACAAACGTTCAAAAAAAATGATAAAATATGATGATTTTTATTCGATTTTTCCTTCTTTGTTTGTTCATCTCGTTTGCAACATATTGTTCGTCCACAATATAGGTTAAGTACAGCTAAGTATCTCGAACAGTCGCAAACAGTCTCAAAGTATCTTTTGACAGCTGGTTTTGAATAGATCATTTCACGTCATTCAGTTTCGATCGTTCGTTGTTAGCCAATGCCGGCCAATGCCGTGAGAACAAATTCATAATTAATAATAATATTTAAAGTGAAAATGGAATCCACAGTGCCTTCCGAACAACCACCAGAGTTTCAGCCAAAAATGAGTGAATTTTCAAATTTTAAGAAGAATATTCAAAAACTGGAAGCAATTGAACCGAAAATAAGTTTTGCTAAAGTTTGTCGATAAATGTGTTTAAAACAAGTGTGAATCCGTGTGAATCCGTGTATTTCAATCGGTTTCAATTTTTTTTTTTTACTTTTAAATATTTTTGAAGATTATTCCGCCTCCAGAGTGGAAAAAGATCGCAGATGAAAATTCGAAAAAGGTCGCAGATGACTACGTTATCGAAAAGATATTGGAACAAACTTGCAAGGCGAACCCGAAAGGATGTTTCGAGTGTACAAGGAATACTCTAACAAAGCCGAAGAAACAAGACTCAACAAAACATTGTCAGAAATTGAAGATCATTTCTGGGAAACGATTACAAGAACTTCAAAAATGTATTCGTACGAAAATGAAATGAGCCTGTTCGGCGAAGGTGTTGAAACATGGAATTTGGGAACGTTTACTAATGCCCAATCGGACATTCATGCTTCACCCTACTATGCACGGGTAAGCATTATGTTTAAATAAGAAAAAAATCATTCCACGCAATTGTTTCCGTTCGTTGTTGATCAATTATTATGGAAAAAAAAATCATAAAAATACTAGTATTTGGAGGCAAAAATGTTCGGTTCCTTAATCACATTACTCACTGATTTCTAATGCCATTTCTAATTGCTCTGCGGCCACATTTATTTGAGGAATGAGTTCCATATCCAATTTTCATAATGAATGTCATTATTGATATTATTTAATTATAATATCGCCGAAGCAATTATTAAATGTTTGAAAGTTCGGCTCCTTAATCACATGTTGCGTTTGAATTTTTTCCTCAGAGAAATCGAGAGATCTTCGAAATGCCTGGAATACAAAAACCATACATCTACTTCGGGATGCCGTTTTCTCTGTTTGCTTTCCACTTAGAAGACGGAAATTCAAATTCCATTAATTTCCTTCACAGTGGCGAACCAAAATTTTGGTAAGTATTTTGATTCTTTTAAACTTCTCATTCAATTTTATACAACGCAGCTCAGAGCAAAGTTGACATTAGATATATCTGTTGTAGGTATTTTGTCCCGGTAGAGTATATGGGTAAACTGGAAAAACTGTCGAAAAAAATTTCGCTCACAATTGCCAATTTTATATAGCACATAGCCGTACACGGCCGTACATACGTACGCATAGCTATGAAAGAATAAAATGTCTTCACTGGAGGACAAAAAATGTCTTCGCTGGAGGACAAAATTGTTGTATTGAATACAACAGCATACTCCGGCATACTCTGAGACACGATGAAGAATTGAAAAATAAACACCAAAGAAAATATTCACTTACAAATGTTGTCCAACATATTTATTTTTCTCTCGAATGAATAATAAACCGTAATAAACATCCAGCGACATCCAGAACGATCTGTCGCGATCCGTAAACAACCCTTGTTCTTTTTCAATACATCGAACGAAGTGAAGTTGCAGATTAAGCAAGGTATACTTTAGATTGTCAAGCGCGTACTTAAATCAAGCGCGTGTATTTTACTCAGAACGCATACTAGCTCAGTTGGACGTCAATGGGCACGTAGTTTAGCATATTCGGCAATAATCCGTCGTAGTGACCACGTAGTGAGCTCAGCTGCACACGTTCGGCATCATTGGTGCTGCATGTGTACCAAATCAGATTGGGCAAATTGAAATCACCTGACACAAGCAGTACATCATTTTGATTTGCTTTTGATGCCACTTCACGCAATGCATTCATATGGGCTTTATAAACTTCCAACGGTGAATCTGGTCTTATGTGAACTTGGATTAGTATCAAGTTTCTGCCGTTGCATTTTACTTTGGCCCATACTTGTTCAGCACCAAGATGTTCAGCTGTTCCGATACATTGCGGATTGAATGTCTTGTCGATTGCGATAAGAACACCGCCCCAACCTTTTCTCTTGACACGCTGAAACTGTTCAGTGGCAGGTGATCTATCGCATCTGTATACTTCGAAGTTCGGCGGAAAAATCTCTGATGAAAAGACATCTGCGTTGAGGTGCGTTTCGCTCAACATGTAAATTTTAAAAATCGCTGCTAAAACTTCGGATAAAAAATCAACTGATTTGTCTATACTTTTCACGCCGTTCAAATTATTGCAGTATATCAAAACGTCATCAAGCATTGTGTGACTTACATTCCATTGTGATTTTGAACGTTGAACGGTTGGAATGTTTTTTCGATGAAAATTATAAATTCGTGGTATGGGACCGTGTTGAAGCTGATTTATTGGTGTTGAAAATGAAATGATTTGGATATGAATTTGATGATCCATGGACAATAAAGAAATTATTTTTCACATTTGTATTGCCGATTGTGGAATATGCTTCCCAAATTTGGAACCCATAACCGATGAAAAAATTGCACGAGTTGAATCGATCCAGAAGCAGTTTTTATTGTTTGCACTGCGCAAAATGAAATGGCCACAAAGATTCAGGAAACCTCCGTACGAATGCCGACTGCTTGAATTACAAATGATTACGCTGGAAGAGCGGAGAAAGATAGCACAAATATCACTTGTCCACAATGTGATATGTGGAAATACTTCATCGAAATACATTTTGAGCAGAATAAGTTTTAAAACACGGCGACATTGGACAAGAAACTCAGATTTTCTTTCATTACCGACGCATCACAATTGCTATTCCAAGTTTGAACCTATCTATATGTTGAGCACATACAATGAATTTTATAAATACTTTGTTCCTATCAAACCGCCTAATTTACCAGCTGAATGTAATATTACTACTATTCCGAGTTGTGATACTTATTTAATTGTTTTTAACACAAGTATAAATACTGTTAAACATAGAGTAGCTGAATATTTTAAGAGAAACAGAATTTTGAGAGAGTAAAGTCAAATAAAATGAATTATCCCATTGTAAATATTGTACATATAACAAGAATTATATTTATGCTAAATAAACCACCTCTGGCGAAGAAACGCTGTATAGTGCAGAATAATAATAATAATAAACTGCCAATGCCCATAACTTTTTCGTTTTTGGACCAATCGGGGCACTTAGACCGGCGTTGAAAAGGTGGCGAGGAGAAGCTTCTCTTGGAAACCCCAGACCACCCCCTTCGTAAGATATGGGTAAAGATTTGAAAATTTATCGAAATTTTCTAACCGCTATATTTTTGTCTAGACCACACTTTAGGCATGGGGGATATGGTGTTTCCGACTATTTGGGCCAAGGCCTTTCCAACGGTACCTAAAATGCCGGGGCCCAAATAGTGCCCTGAGAAAATAGCATATTTACTGTATATATACTCGTGACGCAAACACTGGCATTTTTGATATTTGGCTTGAAATGCACAGTTGTTGGAGCGTCACTTGTCGGACTATCGTCCTCCGTGATGCATTTTCTCAATGATACATTGTTCATTTTTCGATAAAGAATGAGCTTCTCTTTCTTGAAAACAACATTCACATGCACGCCTTCATTGGAAATTGCAAAAGAAATCGAGGTAAGAAAACAACAAAAAACAAAACAAATTTTTTTTCTGAAGAACAAATTTCTATGATTTTTCATAGAACACTCCACAAGAAATCAAAATGTTTCTATTCCGAAGTCCGTCGAATTTTTTTTAATAGGACACAGTGTTTTTTTGATACTAGATATATGCTAATGAGAATGAAAATGGCAATACAGGAATAAACATTCTGAAACGCATCAAGAAAAAAAATTCGCAAAAATGAATCATGAGTTCTGAATATGCAAAAGTGAAACATGAATTTACATGGGCAGCATAAGAAGGTTCATGATTCACTTTTGCGTATTCAGAACTCATGATTCACTTTTGCGAATTTTTTTTCTTGATGCGCTTCAGAATGTTTATTCCAGTATTGCCATTTTCATTCTAACAGCCTCATATATTGTTATTGAATCACACAATAATATTTACATATGTGTGTTGTTGGTAATAAAAATGGGAATACAGAAATGTTTTAACTGAAGCGCAACATGAAACTTCTTTCTTAAAAACGTTACATGAATAGTCGCTTCAATACATGAAAAATGTGAATTTGATTTTCGCTTTTGGTTTTTTCTGCGTAATTGATAAGAGGTAATAAGTTAGTGTATTCAGCAAAGTTGTGGGACTTTGTTGCAGATAACATTTCGTTGTTACTTTTTTGAGAAACAAATTTCATGTTGCGCTCCGGTTCTGTATTGCCATTTTTACTCTCGGCTACACATATTTTTCAATCCAAATGTCAGTTTCTGTTTACAAAGCTTTCCTCTCTACTGTTCACTTGAATTTATATGACGACAAATGTGTATTTGTATACTCACAATTTCTGCTAATGCTGAAATGACTTTTCCGAGAGTGGTGAGGCTTTTATTAATATTGGCCCCTTCTTTCAAGCGAGTCCCTTTAGCTCCAGTTGAATCAGCACGTTCTGATCCAGCTAAATCAACCAAACTTATTTTTGAAACTTTTTCACTGTCCAAGTCAGTCATTTTGTCATGGCGTCGTTGAGTGAAAAAAATTGTGAAAACCGCGTGGGATCTAGAACTGGTCTCATTCATATTTGTTGCCGCAACTGTGCGTGCTTTGTTGCCTTCATCTATTAAATCATGAATATCCTCGTAGGATGTAACTGCCAACTTTGAGAGATCTTCCACATATGGTCCTAACGCTGGATGTTCACGAACTTTTAAATTGCCTTTATTTTTAGGATTCAACAAATCTCGAACACGCTCGCAATAAATTTCCATGTATGATACTTCAACTGCATATTGCAATTCAGAACTTGCTGTTTCTTTTATCCGTCGAAATAAATCTTTACAAAGCATGGGTATTATGCCTTCTTGACCTTCCGATTCTTGTTTTCCCATCATTGTATAAGATTTACCTAGAACACGGATTATTAAGATGTTATGTGTCAGTTGAAGCAGTCAAATGAACCACCATATGATTTAATTTACCTGCCCCTGTTTGACCATAAGCAAAAATGCATACGTTGTATCCATCAAAAGAATGTTGCAGCATTTCTTCTCCTATATCAGTGTACACCATCGATTGGGTAGAAAACTCTCTATCACTTGGCTGCTTATAAAATGGAATAATAAGATAAAATTTTCTCAAAAATTGCATTAAATTATTATTTAATGAACATTCATGTAACGCCATTTAGTCATATTTAACATGAAAAATTGTAACGTGTTCACACATTTCTCCGTTAAAATCGAATAAAATTTGGGTGTAAACTGTATGAAAATATACAACGATGTGCCTTCTCATCGCTGTCGCCAACTGGTGTTAGCAAGTGTACTACAAACAAAATGTTAAAATCAATGTCAAATTAGTCAACAGAAGAGTGAAAAAGTACATATAAAGTGCTTGTTGTTCACTTGGCAAGTGACACTTGCTAGCACCAATTGGTGCTTCGGGACTATTTTATTTATTTACATACCGCCAAAGAACTGGCTGAATATTCAGTTTTGCAGGAAAATGACTCCAAGAGTCATGGAAAACCTTTATATGGGAACTGTCAAGAAACCGTAGCACAGCTTAAGAATCGCACTGAGTGGACGCTGCGAGCAGCGCACAAACTCACTTGAATGAAAGACGATAAATTCGTGTGCGCTGCTCGACTCACGAAAATGAGTTTTTATACGCACAGTACGTTATACGCACACCGCACACTATGTCTTGCTTCTTCTTTTTTTTCGTCTTGTTCGTATCTGCTATAGCGAAAAGAAGAAAAAGAAGAAGAAGCGGAAGACTGGTGAGTGAGTGGGGCGCACATGATTCTTTTAGATGAGTAGAGTATCGCACAGAGCGCTGTGGCTCTCATTAAAATAGTTGCACTGCGAACTGAGTGTGCGATTCTTAGCCCCTGAACCGCAGTGTTGAAAATATATCCACACATGCATTTTATTTTTAACGTTCAGTTTTCAATTTTCACTAAGATGTCAAACAATGAATGTCACACAATTCTTTGAACTCAGATGATCCAAATGCATGTCAACTCATTCCATATATACGCTGATATCAGTATATTTCATGAAACAAACATTTAACGGAAAGAACATTTTCTTAATTTTTTTTTATCCTTTCAGGCTATCGTTCATTTCTTTACTCCAGCACGACTCACTTGCATATGTCATTTTTAGAACGAACACAATTTCTCGTCAATCAGGTATTCAAACATGGAACGTAGCCGTTGAAACCGGTGATGAGGTAGGTCAATTTTAGATGAGTATTAATTTTCAGATAAACTCATGTACAAATTACTAATTGCTATGATATTTCATTGCTTTTTCCGTCCAGTGGTTGTGCCCTATAAGTGCCTGTGTATTTTAGGAAAACATCACGTTTGCTGATCCAACGTTTGGGGGGCGAAATGATCAAAACGTAGGCAGAAAGAAGAACGATGGCGCAGAATATTCACTGAGTAAAAGCAACGCGACCTTCGCTCATATCCTTTGGTCCCCTCCTTAAAGTCAAAGCATGCATGGAATAGCTACATTTGTCATCGGTTGGCTATGATGGCACTAGGAATAGCTCTATATGGAACCCACAGTTTCGACAGATACGTGTAGTCAAATCGAGCCAGCGATAGAATAGCATCGTTGACGAACAAAAAACTAGCAACTTAGGCGCGGCACAAAATCCACCGATCAGAATCAAAAATGCCTGCGATGCCCCGGCTTCAAGAAATCGAACAATTGCACCATTCATTTTGCCGAACAGTACTTCACATCGTATACATACGCAAAATGTTTTGGATGATTCGTTCTACGAACTAAACGAAATTGGTTCAAATTTGTCCGAAGGTTCTATCTGAATGGGTGTGATTTACAACACAGTGAAGCGCAATGGTAATAAATTCAGCAAATCCAAAACCGTTCGGAGTTCAGTTTGCATTGCTTTTGTCCCTATCGGAAGATCACTGACTTGAATCATGAATGACGTTTATCTGACAAATGCCACTTCCAACATTTGGATAAACCTTATGACGAAAGCATTTACTTATACTCCCAAACTATACCGTATAGATGCCGTTAAAGCATTCATTGCTGAATATTTTCTATTTACAGCGCACTTTGTTGGTGATTTAGTTTTTCATTGAAAAAAAAAGCATTGAAATTATTTTCATTCTATTTTCTTTCCATTCATTTCATGCACAATTAGACTACACCCGAATTTCACTCATTTTCGACGGAATAAATGATTGTATCACATTCAACCATGGTCATATACCCGGTTGCGAATATATTATAAAAATTATTTACATTATGCGACCAATACGAATAATCGAAGTTGAATCGTTTTATAGAGTCACTTGTACCAGGTGGGACCTTGGGATTCGTAATCGCCGTTGTTGATCCTAAATTGAAAAAAACATTTTTCAAATATGCAATTTAACAATTTTTTTTTTCATTCAATTACCGCTCATATCGATGATACATTTTGACTCTCGTGAAATTTCACGCGAATTAAAAGGTCGCACTCTAACTGCAACTTTGACTGAAGACATGGTAGCAAATATCACTAATGCCTTTAAATCCTGAATCTCTGTTTCTTAGTCGATTCTCTCTTATTATTTTAAATGGAATGAAAGTATTATTATTTTAAATGCTGTCTTGATTATTTCCAAATCTAAAAAGAAATAAATATTTGAATAATTAATAAGAAAAGTTCTACACACATAAAAATGAATTGACCATCACATTGAAGATAATTGAAGAATCACTGTTCAAATAATGAAATAACATGAAATGATCAAAACTAGCTTTGCTATTATAAACAATAATGAAATTTCATCTTCTCTAATGCTGTTTCATTACACTACATTCCATTAAAGTTTTTTGAATACGGTGAAACAAATTATGACAATAATAAATCTGATTTGTTTTTTGTTTTTAAATTTTAGATTGCTTTTGGACCGGGAATTCTAGAATTGATTGTTCACATTAAACTCTCGAGGAACACGTCTTTTAATTATTATCTGTATACATTTGAATGTGGTCTTAATAATCTTGAAAACACGAGGAAAAGAAACAAAAATTCTATCACTCATTCTAAAAATTTTACGAATTCTTTTATGTTTTATTAAACTATGGTGTATTTGATAATAGTAGTGTGGGCAAGTGATATTGTTAGAATTGTACAATTTTTAAATATTTACCCAAGGATGGACTAGTTTACATGTATATCATAATAGATATTGCTTCAAATATTATTAAATGCATTTTTTCGGAACTAAAATCTTATATGCACTTAATTTGCTGTTCAGTTCATAAAAAGTGTATCCTTTCGAACGCAAAACTAAATACATACATTTATTCGCCGTGTTTTAAAAAATTAATTTTTTTATACGTGGACCCATTTTAAAGCTTTGGGTTTTTAGTGGATTTATTTATGCTCATAAACATCATGAATGCAATGTTTAATACAATAACGTCAGATTGTTATGTATTTTCGTATACATTTTCAAATATTATCTTGAAAAATTGGAAGAAATCAGTTTATTTTCCTATAAAATTTCCCATATGTTGGGAAAAAATAAAATGTTAAATGCAAATAATTATTCTATTTTTTATTATGTTGAAAGGAGCAAAGATTTTCTTCCATTTGAATTTGAGAAGTAGTATTGCTTTGTACGTTTTCAATTCTGCAGCAATATAATATCACTGTAATATGATTTTTTGATGGGGACCAAATAGTTTGATACGAGTCTACCTTTGTGTTAAAAGTATACTCAGTTTAAACAACTGATGACGTAATATAGTGTATTGTGAAACCAAAATAACAAATTCAGTCTTCATAAAAACCAAAAAGATTAAAAAATAGTTTTTTTAAGTAAATTCATTAATAATTCATCATACATGTTTCTTGCAAAAACAAAATTGATCCTTGAAAATGTTGGGATGAAATTTTCTCCATATTGTCGTATTAAATCTAACTATTTGTTCTTCTCCTTAGCATTTCATTGAAATGAAAAAATGAATAAACTTTCAATAATGAAAAAACGTAGCAATATTATTATTTAAGTTTACTTATGTAAAACCCAAATATTTATCTTGAATACAATTTCCACAAAATGCTTCGCATTGCACTTAAATAATTGAAATATCGAAGAAAAAAGCAATATACATTTGATTAACCTTTTATCAACATTACTTTACCTGTGGCGTTTCGTCCCAATTTTGAATGATTTAGAATGTATAATTTCTTCTCTTTATCCGTTTTTAAGTTATTTTCGAAAAAAAAACAAATCTTATATTGAATATATTACGTTATTCAGATGAACTACGATAAGAAGACTGTTTTTCTCAATCCTTCACTCTATATTCTCATATGCGTGTTGCTTCAATTCATTTTGATTTTTTCCATGGAGAAATGCTATGATACAACTCAAAGCCATGAAGGGTGAGTGATTCATCGAACGTATTTGTATACGTTGAATTAATCTGCTCAAACGCAGTAGCGAGGAACACGTCAAAATGATGGTACTTTTTCCGCCCTTACATCTTCAAGCAGTGCGCCTGTGCGCAACAAATCTTGTATCCGATAGTGGAGACATCAAACTTGAATCGGTTTTTTTGCCGTTGACCTTCAATATGATTTCAAAAAAAATATTTTAATGAATGAATGGTAAAGTTACAAAAGGTAGATACGTTCAACTACAATTTAACAGCCTCAAAAGAGCGCAACGTATTTCTTTTGGAATAGAAAGATATTATAAAATCATATGAGCCATTGAATGTTTAAAAAAACAAAGAATGTTTGAAACAATATGCAACGAATAAAATTAATTAACTCTATAAAAAAGTAATTGCCTTTTGAACTGAAAAATTTATCATTGTTTTGAAGGAGGGTTTTACTTCAAATGTTATTTATATTTTTTCTGCTGTCATTAGATCAGTTAACAAACTATTTTTTGATGTACATTTTTTGGGACATATATTTGCCATTTTTAGTTATATTTTAGATAAAGAGAGAGATTCAATTATTGTTTATAATGATTTTTTTTCATGTACCTTATTCCTATAAAAATGCAATATATGTACCGCATTTTGCCGTTCGGTCGATAGATGGCACTGTTTTTCTGACACCAATAAAATTATTTGGAACATTAGTACATTTTTCATTATTTTTAGTACATTGTCCAAGAATTCACGTTTCTTTGAAGTTTGAAGCAACTGTCAGACATTTTATTGTTATAGTTCAAAATTACCAATAGTCAACGAATAATGATTAATTCAACGGATGAGGAGTGAGTTTTGGATTTATTTTTCACAAGAACATTGAGAATATTTTAAATGACTCAGTATTTGACTGTACGTTTGATTTTTTTTTTAAATTCACAGAATTGTCAAGCCAGATACGCCGCCAGAATTATATTCATGCAAGTATAATTTTTATTTCATATAAGAATATGAAATTATTTCCGTTTGATCACGCATTTCCAGGTCCCGATAAACAATCACGGTCTTTGCGTGAATATGACGAGGAGTTGCATAATTTACGGAAAGAGAACTTCAATTTGAAGCTTCGAATTTTCTTTCTCGAAGGAAAACCACAGGGAACGAACATATGTCCAAGTACTGGCCCAAAAACGAATCATGAACAATTTTCCAATCAAAATCTTAAAGTATGTACAAAACAATACGAAAATAAAGCAGCTAAAACTAGTTGCAAGAAAAAAAAATGATTTGAAACAAGCCTTAGTAAATGAAATAAGAAGGTTTGCTTTAGATCAATGAAAAATGTAACGATTTACCCATTTTGCGTTCAATTGACGATAAATGTCTATAACCATAAAGCACATAGAGTCAACCATTTTTACCAGTCACTTTCATTGTTATCACAATCAAATTTTCGAAATATTTATTCCGTCGCTAAAAATGAAATGGCTTTTCCGACAGTAATGCCGGGTTGACTTTACTAATATGTGAATGTATATGTATCTCCTTTCAAGGTTGAGAATAAGGAGCTTCGAAAAGAGCTACAAGAAAAACAAAATTTGCTGGTAAATCAAATATTCATTTAAGCAAAGGAAATCGTATTTTTATATTAATAATTAATATTCGTGATTTGCTGGATTTGCTGATCAGCACGAGGCAGCACATGCAATTGAAGTTTTGGAAAACTCCTTGAAAAGACAACAAGAGCTGAATAACATTACGATAACTGAACTTGCAGATGAAATAAAATATATAGAGGTAACATATAAACTGCTGAGAATATTTGTTGGATGTGTTTCATAGTTGATGACTATGACTGTCCCTTGAGTTTGCAACATAATTCTGTCCCTCGGACATACAATGCCCGTGATGTATTACTTTTTCGTACACACCGTGTCAAGGGAAAGTATAGGAATATATTCCGAATTTTTTTTTTCATAAAATCAGCTTAGATCATCATAAAAACTCATGAAACGCGTGTAAAACCACTTTATGAGACACTTTTTCGTTCGTGTGCCGTCGTCGTTGTCGTCGTCGTTGGTGTTTGTTAACACGATAACTCAAAAATTAATTGAGATATGTAATCAAAATCTGGAAATGCCAAAAGTTTTGTATCCGAAAAACTTAGTATAAGCTCGAAGATGAGCCATTTTCAAATTGATCCTGGGGTACTTACCCTAAGAAAAACCTCAAAAAATTGACACTTTTGTATGGGAGGTACCCGTGAATCGACTCCTATTAGCTTCAAACTTTCCGAAGTTTCATTTTTTGGAGAAAAAAATAAGATTCTGAAAGTTTGAAGCCAATCGGAGTCGATTTACGAGTACCTCCCATACGAAATTTTCGAAATTTCGACTAAATTGACCGATTTTTCGGCAATTTTATTTTATTTATTATTAACACCGCCAAAAAACTGGCTGAATATTAGGTTTTGCAGGAAAATGACTTCAAGAGTCATGAAAAACCTGATCTTTTGATTTTTATACAATTTAGGGTATAGCAGTAAATAGTTTGATTATACATAAATATTGGCAAAAGAATAACCTAATTAATGACTACGCGAATGACCAAATATGAAATGACGGCCTGAGAAGAAAAACCTTTCCTATAAAACCTGTGCGCAGAACACAAACACAGAAATTTTTTAGTCAAAAGGCGAACAGCAAATTTGCGAGCGCAAAAACCTAATATATTTACAGCGAGCGCAAAAGTATAACAAGCCTACTAGCATGCAAACTCCGTATAAGTGGGCCTGTTATTTGTTTGACTAAAAAATTTCTGTGTTTGTGTTCTGCGCACAGGTTTTGTAGGAAAGGTTCTTCTTCTCAGGCCGTCAAATGTATAACGAAAGCTGATTGTCAACAATTCAAGATAATCTAACAACGCATTTGAGAAATGATAGACTAACTGGAGCGTTAAACATATATTAGTGTCGACCTCAATGACTGCAAAAGTCATCGTTCAATTTATCAAATAGGTTGAAAAATGAAGCGAAGTTTTACTTCTAATCTAAACAAGTCCCTGTTGGTAGTTTTAAATTTACAATTCATGTCGAGACCAAAAGATATTTATTTATTTATTAGTTATTGATCCTTCATAATTGTCGCTTATCTTTAATTCTCTTTCTACACTATTTACATATTCTAATTTTCTTTCATTAAATTGTCCAACTGCTGACCAAAAGGGCTGATTTTGCAAATATCCACTCGTGTACGTTGGTAATTTTAATAGTTCTAGGTTTCGAGTTGGCCTACTGTTATTCCATATCAGTTTCGAATTTAAAAATTCTGAGTCTAAATTTTGATGTATTAGATCATATATGAGCACACAACAAGTATATACATATCTACTTTGAATTGAATCAATATTTAATTTTGAGCAATGATCATCATATGGGCTGATAATGTAATTATTATTTGCATTGGGATATTCATTCAATGGTGAATCTTTTCTGCACTCCTTCAATAAAAACCCTATCGGTAATTGTATGGGGGTACCAAACAGCAATGCCAAACAATAATTTGCTCTTTACATATGAATTGTACAAAATGACAAGAGTATTAACATCAAACTTCTTACCAACTGTGCGTTTTCTCATAAAAAATGCGTCTGGCGTAAAAGAAAATTTTTTTTATATGAAACTTTGGAAAAAAAAAATTTTGAAAAAGTAATAGGAAAGTAATAGGCATTACCTATTACTATTACTATTACATGTAATAGGAAAAGTAATAGGATAAATGTAATAACCATTACTGTAATAGCCTGTAATAGTAATAAAAAATAGTAATATAATACTTATTACTTTACTTCTTTACGACATGGTGGACGAAATGGACGTGTTCATTTCTTTGTTCGCCGATGAATTAAAAATTGACAAAATCATCCACTCGAGAACGGATGCGAAAGCGTTACAGCGAGCCATCGACAAAGTAAAGATTTGGTGCGACGTAAACAATTTGCACCTGAACCTCGACAAATGTGCCGTCCTTATAATCACCACAAAAAGGAAGGACATCATCGACACTAATTACAAATACGGTGATTTTACCTTCAAGCGCGTACTGGACCACAAAGATCTCGGCGTCATCATTGACCAAAAGCTTAGCTTTGTCAAGCACAATGATGCGATCACTTCGAGAGCTACAGCAGCCTTGGGATTCATCAAAAGATTTTGCTATGACATAACCGACGTTCAAACGCTCAAAACACTATACTACGCACTAGTTCAGTCTCATCTTGAGTACTGCAATGTTGTATGGCTACCAACTTATACCGTGCATATCGACAAAATTGAGAGCGTGTTGAGAAAGTTCACCCAGTTCGCCCGAAGAGAGTACCGTACGGCGGCCAACGGCTACAGTATCACCGACTACAACAAGCGACTTGAAGCGTTGAACATGACATCGTTGGAGCGTAGGAGAGTGAATGCATCTATTGTATTCATGTACGACATCGTGAATGGAATCGCAAACTGTCCCAATGTACGCAATGACATCGCAATTGGAGAGAGCGTACGTAGGTTAAGGCACACAGACTACCCAAAGATTAAAGATAAGCTCATGGACAAACAAATCAGAGCTCAAGTGCCTCAAATATGCAAGTTTGCAAACAAAGTGGCTGAAAAATTCAATAACTCAACCAGCCGTGCAAATTTCATCTCGTCGGTACGCAGCGAACAAAACCAAAAATTTATTATTAAATATTGACAAATTGTTATCCTACATCCCTACATCCCTATAGAAATAATCCCCATTCCCTATAGAAATGATGATATTTATCTGTGATTTTTACTCAAACTTTAAAATAAGTAGCAACATTGACTGTGATATAGCCATCCTCTGAGTTGGTGATTAGATTTGACCTGTTATTACTTTATAATGGAAACTACCGTTTGTGTCAATGTATTTGCGAAAATTAGAATACTTTTTTATGTCTTTCGGTCTCTACTAAATTGTAAATTTATATCTACCAACAGGGACTTGTTAGACTAGACGTAAAACTTTTCTTCAATATATCACTTTTCTGATAAATTGAAAGATGACTTTTGCAGTCATTAAGGCCGACAATAATATGTTTAACGCTCCAGTAAGTCTATCTTTTCTCAAACACGTTGTTAGATTATCTTGAACCGTTGACGATTCGGCTTACTACTCATTTCCTTGTATTGGTTAGGTTTCTTTGTGTTAAATTTTATAGACCAAACCCTAAATTCAAATCGAGAAAGACTGCTATAACTATCTATTGTATGAAAATACCCTATATTGTACAAACACGAAAAGATCAGGTTTTTCACGACTCTTGGAGTCGTTTTCCTGCAATCCAAAATATTCAGCCAGTTTTTGGCGGTGTAAATAAATGAATTAATGAATAAAATGAATAAATATAATTTATCTTGTTATATTTACAATATTTACAATGGGATAATTCATTCTAATTGACTTCACTCCTAGGGGATAGACACAAGATCTGAGATACGATCGTTTTTCAAAATACTTAATTGATTTTGTGTAGAGGTGTTCAGATTCGTGAAGATTCATTGAGATTTGAAGGGATTTGAAGGGATTTGAAGAGATTTGTAAAAATCTCACTGATTTGTTTGACCTTTTTGACAAGTCAGCCATTTTGATTTGAGAAGATTCATAAGGATTCATAGAGATTCAAAAGTATTTGAATTTGCTCGAGATATGAGATTCCTACAGATTTGAAAAGATCTAAAAAGATTCAAGTTTTAAATGTTGTGTCTATCCCCTAGCTTCACTCTCTCCAAATTCTGTTTCTCTTAAAATATTCAGCTACTCTATGTTTGATAGTATTTGTTGTTGTTTCATTTATTTACTTATTCATTTACACCGCCAAAAACTGGCTGAATAATTTGATTCGCAGGAAAATGACTCCAAGAGTCATGAAAAACCTGATCTTTTGTTTTATACAATTTAGTTTGGTTTGATTTTTACGTGCATTGACAAAAGTAACTATATTCCATTATAAATAACAGGTCAAAAACAATCACCAACTCAATGGATGGCTATATCACAGTCAATGTTACTAAATTTCAATTAATTATTGTAAAAATCACAGTTTTGCCTCATTAATGATATACATTTACCAAGGATGTAAAAAAATAATTTGTCAGTACTTCAAACTAAAAACTTGGCTGTGCTATTTTCGTACTGATGTGACAAAGTTTGCGCGACTGGTTGCATTTTTGAATGGATCAGCCACTTTGTTTGCGTATTTACACAATTGTGGAATTTGAGCTCTAATCTGTTTGTCCATCAGATTGTCCTTGATTTTTTGGTAGTTAGTTTGGCGCAAGGTACGAACGCTCTCACCCACTGCTATATCATTGCGTACAGTAGGACAGTTTGCGTATCCATTCACGATATCGTAAATAAATACAATTGATGCATTTACTCTCCTTCTTTCTAATGATGACATATCGAGGGCCTCGAGTCGCTTATTGTATTCGGTGATATTATATCCGTTGGCCGCTGTCCGATACTCTCTTCTGGCAAACTGAGTAAATTTCCTCAAAACACTCTCGATCTTGTCGATATGTACGGCATAAGTTGGTAGCCATACGACGTTACAGTACTCGAGATGAGACTGAACCAATACGTAATACAACGTTTTGAGCGTTTGTACATCGACTATGTTGTAGCAAAATCTCCTGATGAAACCAAGGGCAGCCGTTGCTTTCGATGTAATTGCGTCGATGTGCTTGACAAAACAAAGTTTTTGGTCAATGGTGGCACTGAGATCTTTGTGGTCCGATATGTGCTTGAAAATGAATAAATATGTTCTTGAGCGACGTGAAA